GTTCCCCTCCTGACGTTCGTGACCCCAGGTGGCTGCGACCGACCTGCTCGTTCCAGGCATCGGGGAGTTGGTAGGAGGAAGTCAGCGAGAGGAGCGACTGGATGTTCTCGTCGACAAGCTGAAGGAGTTCGGGCTGTCCCCAGAGGTTGCTCCTCCTTCCTCAATTGCCCCTGCCTCCCCTTCTCCTTGTCCTTCTCCTCCTCTCAAATACGCCTGCTGCTGCTGCTGCTGCTGCTGTCCTCCTTCTCCTGCTGCTGCTGCTGCTGCTGCTCCTCCTCCTCCTCCTCCTCCTCCTCCCGCTCCTGCTCCTGCTTCTCCTCCTCCTCCCGCTCCTGCTCCTGCTTCTGCTCCCGCTCCCGCTGCTGCTGCTGCTCCCGCTCCTTGGTACATTGCTCGGCCCTCTCTTCCTCTCTCCACCTGCTCCTCAGGATCAGCTGCTCCGCATCTCTTACAGCTTCTGTAGGACTATTGGTGGTATCTCGACCTGAGGAGATATGGAAGCACTCCCCATGCCGGGTAAGAACTCTTCCTCCGTCCTCCTCCATCCTCCTCCTCCTCCTCCTCCTCCTGTCCCTCCTCCTCCTTCGTCCTCCTCCTCCATCAACCATGCTTTTTCCTTCCTCTCACGGTCTTGCTCAGCTACGGTCTTGGCTTCGAGCGCCTCGTCTGCTACGTGACTGCTACTGAGAACATCCGAGACGCTATCGCGTATCCTCGTTATCCCGGCAATGCTGAGTTCTAGAGAGAGTGGGGAGAGGGGAGGATAAAAACTCAACAAAGAACTCTGTTCTATCCCCGTCACAACATGGCGGAGGCGGCCTCCTCCTCCTGAGGAGGAGGAGGGGGAGGGGGAGGAGGAGGGAGAGGAGGAGGGACAGGTGTGAAAATCTGTACGAGTAGTTGACGTAGTGGGAGGGGAGGGGAGGGGAGGGGAGGCAGGATTTGGTAGAAACAGGATTCACTGATAACATGTTACAAGTTGGAATCAACAGGATGCAAAAAACTAAAAACCACGGTGGGTACTTAAAAAGAAAAGGAAAATTGAAAAAAAAGGTGAAGAGAGGGAGGGAACAGCGTCAGCGATGAGAATCACTACAAGAAATGGTGACCATATGCACTCCAAGACCAAGTGCGAAGCTGTCATAGCGTTCGATGATTGTTTGCACGTCATAGCGTTCGATGATTGTTTGCACGTCATAGCGTTAGATGATTGTTTGCACGGTGAACTTCCACGCGCCAGTCAGACCAGGAGAAGGGAAGTGATCGGAAGGAGCAGGGAGAGTTCGAACTTCTTTCAGCCAGCAAGTCTTCTTCTCATGAGTGAAGGCGGAGCAGGACGGGGTCGAATCGCACCTTGCGCAGCACGCCTCCGGCGTCTCTGCTGGAGCTTGAGCTTGGTCCATGATGAGAATGTCTCCCACTCCCTTGAACATCTCAACGTTGGTCTTGAACGTGTAAGCGGAGCAGTCGCCTGTCCCCTTCCTTGTCTGATGGATGTCGAAGGTGACGAATTGCCTGAAGAACTTTCTCATGACAAAGACGTCCCTGTCGTACTGGTGCACTATGACAGCCCTCTCGTTCCTTGAGTTGATGACCACGTCGTTGTTGAAGCTCATCCCAACCTTGCTCTGCAGGTGAGCTACGGGACCGTTGTACTGATCCAAGACGTGCAGCCCTGGCAGCGAGCCCTGGTGGACTAGAACATTGTGTATCCCCTGGTCCACCCCGTTGCGCTCGCAAGCTGCGAAGTTGGGCCCGTTGATCTCCTTGGCCATGGCGTCGAGGTACGACTGCACGTGCATGGTCGTGCCGAGGCTGATCCCTGAGCAGATGATCTCCTTGGACGCTAGCTCGTCCACCTTTCCTTGCCCGAAGCAGCTCCGGATCCACCCGGTGTTCCAGTCATCTCCCATGATGTTGACAGACTCACTGAAGGTCCACAGCCCTGCCTCGCTCACGATGCTGAACGGGTCGGACTGGAACCCGGTATCCCTCACGTCCGCGAGCAGCACCTTGTTGAAGTTGTGCCCTACCCGCTTCAGAAAGCTCTGCATTAATACCCACCGGGTGGTGGAGGGATGGTACTTTCCTAGAGTCGCAGGGTCCAGGCTCACTCGGTTGACAGGGAGGACAGTGACATTGCGCTCCTGGAACTTGGATTGGAGGCGGGGGCTGACCACGTCCATGAACAGGATGATGGCGCAGTCGGAGAACTGCCGGAGGGACTCGACAAACACACAGACGTTGGCGTCGTGAATGCCGTCGGCCATGCCCAGCACCAAGTTCTTGTTCCCTGCTGGTGGCAGGAAGTCCGACCTCCCCGTGACGATCGAAGAAGCAGCTTCGCTCACGGACATTCTCGCGTCTGATCCCGCGGGTTTCTCCTTGACAAACGCTGGTGGCAGGAAGATTTCACTGGATCTGACCTGCTTCAAAGGAGGGGTGACTGCAGGGGCGGTCACCACTCCATGGCTGCCTTTTATCTCAATGAGGATCAAGTCAAGCCTGCGCTTAATCTCCTGCGTGTCCTCCTGAAACTTCATCTCCAGTGCATGGACAGTGGCCAGTCTCGTTTGCATCTGCTCCAACTTCTCCACGAAGCTCGAGATTTCCTCATATACCCCCGCAGCCTCTTCGGAGCTAGGGCCGCCTCTTCTTCGCATTGAAAGAAATTCAGCAGTCAACTTGTAAGGCACGAGCTCGTTGGTGGCTTCAAGCTTGGTTGTCTCTCGGGACCTCAGCGAAGAAGCTTGCGAAGTCTTGCCCTTGCTCCCTTGGTTGCTGATCATGACCATGAGCAGCAGAAATGCGATGGAGATCAGGAAGAGCCAGATGAAATTGTTCCTGCAGAAAATCTGTGATGACCTCATCTGTCTCGACGCATATATGTTCTCCTTCTTCTTCATTGTGATCCTACCGCGTGACCGTAAGGAGAGTACGGACTTGCCACAGACCTTTCGGCAAAAGCTCCTGGAGGGAGGAGAGCTATCCCGTAGTCCTGAGCAGGAGAGAGAGCGGACAAGAGAAAGAGTGTATCAGGCACAAGATACGAAGCAGAGACGCAGACACAAGGAAGAACCAGCTCTAGGTGCTCCGATCAATCTATCAGGATTCAAGCCAAAGTGGCGATGAAGAGAGTACTGAATGTGGGCTTGATTGGGAACGAGCAGCTCCAAGGGCACGCAATCAGCGTGAAGACGGCATTTCGGAGAAGAAAGAAGAAACGAGAAAAAGAAAATATGGAAGCAGTCGCGACAAGAAGAGATCAAGGAACTAGCAAGGTGCGGATTGTGTACAGGGGGGAAGTTCCCCGATAAGTAATTGGAGGAGTGGAAGGGCCGGGCGTAAGTGAGCAACGTGGACCGGGATCGATGAGGCTGAAGATGAGAGAGATACTGTGAGTAGAAGGTGGAAGGAAGATGGAAGACGAGGGAGGAGGAGGAGGAGGAGGAGGAGGAGGAGGAGGAGGAGGGGAAGGGGAATATGAATGATAGCAGGAGCGTGTAGGGGGGAACAAGGAGGAGATCAGAAAATGGAAACTTCGTGGGGTAGGGTTCTCCAACTAGAAAGGAGGGGTGGTCATAACAAAACCAGGGAAGAGTCGATATGGAGGGGGTAGGGTAGACTCAATTTTGTCGATGGTGGGTCCATATTGAAGCGTTGTAAGTTTCGTGTTTAGCTTTTCGACTTGGGGTGGTACAGTGGGGGAGTAGGGTTGCGGGCTATTCATAGGAGAGGGGTAATAGAATCGAGGGGTGGTACAGTAAGAAGCTTAAAACGATAGGAAGCATTGAAGGCCATTATCTTCTATTGATTGACTTGAATAATATGTGACCTACAGTATATTCGATCAAATTTCCGGGCAGAAAGTTGTGCAAAAAATTTATGAGGGGTAGGGTAGGGTCTCGAAGGAGCTATAAGGAGGAGGGGGGGTTAAAAAAGGTAACTTCGTTCGACCCCGGAGAACCCAGGCTTACTTGGGGGTAGGGGTGGTCAGAGGAAACTTCCGAAGGGGGGTGGTTCCTCACAATGTTTTGACTCGGTGGACCCCACTGTTTCCCATTAGTTGACATCCTACTACCCCAGCCCGCTCCATCTACCACCCCCACCCCAAGGCTACAGCTAGTTTGACTATTTTACACTACCTGATTTTTAACTTAAAACTTCGAGTAAAACCTGTAAAGCTACTACCACACTGACTGTGAACAAAGTTTACTCAAAGTTAAGTTAAAATCAGTACCGTCGGAGGACAATCAGCAGTTTGAGTAAACATTGGCACCGTTCACGGTTATTTTCTTGAATAATTTTTGAACTCGACTCTACTGTCATCTACGACCATAATTGTCCTAGTACTGATTGTAACTCGATTGTAACTCAACTTCCGCTCGGAACTTCCGGCGAAAGGCCCACCGTACGCCGGCTGAGCGGCCGCCAAATGGCGGCGTCTGGCACGGTGGCAGTCGGATGTCACAAGTCCCGGTCCGGCGCGCCGTCCTCGGACCCGTGACACCGGGCCTGGCCGGGAGAACGCCTTCGGATCGCCCGGCCGAGTCCCGGCGACCCGCCAAAGTGGCACGCCGCCGCCCCGCCGCCTGTTCCGCGCCGGGCCGCGCTGGCATGCCGCATGATGGCGCGAGGGGGAATTGGTCCTGCGCGCACTTAAGTGAAGACAATCATTTCAGCCGCCCCGGCCCGCCAGCCTGCCGCGCCGGGCGCGCCGGGACCGTCGGCCCGGCCCGCGGCGGGCGCCCGGCGATGGCAGCGGCCCGGTCAGAGTGTGGTCACTCGGCCCGCCCCGGAGGAATCTTTAGTGAGATACAAGTTTGTGGTGGCGGAGCGCGAATGGCGGAAGTGTGAGGAAGACGATGGGAGGAGAGTGAGGAGGAGGAAGGAGAGCGAGGAGACAGACTACTGCATCACGAGAATGAAGGAGGGCGAACATGTGAGGGAGGGAAAGGAGGAGAGCTGCAAGCGGAGGATCGAAGCATCGCACCATACCCTGAGAGGGGGTCTGTGATGCTAGCGAGGACAAGGAGCAGTCAACCGGCACCATCGGATTCTTGAAGTCCTGAGACAGTGAGCTGTATAGTTGGAAGAGGACAATGAAGGCTCTGTGGGTGCCCGTCCTTTGCCTCATCCTTTCAGTACAGCCGTGCAAGGGTCGCAGTGTGAAGAGCTCCATCCCATGCTGGAGTCAGTGCTGCAGGAAGAAATTTCTGAGCATGCCTAACACCGGCATCAGCCAGAGAAACTTTCACAGGATGGAGCTGAGAGGAGGTTCGGTCAGAGAGCTGGGAGCTTTCAGCACTCAGTTGCTCGAGTCGGATCTTCAGCTCGCTGACTCTCCCAAGGACGTCATAGCGGTGCTGAAGAAGCACAAGAATGAGACTTTTGAGAGCATCACTAACAAGTACATCTTAGAGAAGCTGTTGGCAACCTTGACAGATTTGTGGGAAGAGCAGGATGCTTGGCAATGGTTCGGGACTATCCGAAGAATACTTGCACGAGTTAGAGCGATGTGTCGTGGATGGGAGAAGCCTCAAAGTATTAGAAGAATTTTGATGAATCTATCTCATATCATGAGGATTCTTTCTGGAAATACGTGTTTCAAACAAGATTGCCTCGAAATTCTCCACATGCAGAATGCGATGTGTCAGAAGCTACTTGAAGACAACAGGAAATGTGATGGAGAGTGTCTGGCCGACATTGTTTCAGCGTTGGTAAGTTGAAGTTGATTGATGACGATGAATCGAATCTCCATGTGTCTCAATCATGATTTACACAGACTGACAGAACCCCAGGCTGCTACAGCTTTTGCACATTTCAACGCAACGCAGCGGGGTGTTGATGATTTCCCTGATATTCGGAGAGCCTGCAAAGCAATGCTGCAACGATTTGTTGACCTTCCGAGTGTTACAGTCACTGATGTGCGCTTAAAATGTGAGTTGTGATCGTTCTGTTTGACGGATCGTGAAGGTTTCCAAAACTATGTGGGCGTGTTCGGTTCTACAGTGTTTAGACCTGCCTGCTTCCTGCTATTTGTCTCGAAGACTTCTCAAAGATGGTTGTACATTTTGAAACCCCTCTACAGAGCTCATCTTTCTGTGCAGAATTCACAGATCTTGAGCCATCGGACATGATAGATTTGATTTGGAGCTTAACAACTCCAGTGCAACCCGACATCGGTCAAATCAACGTCACTCAAATCAACAACGATAAATTTTGCAGAGTGGCAAATGAGACGTTTGCTGCACAGAAGCCTATATTTCTGTCATGCAATCACACTTTGAGACTCCAGATGAAAGCTGTAAGCGCAATCCAGAATTCCACAGATGCTTTGGATATGGCCGACGTCTTTGACTTATTTCAGAGAATACCCTTGATATATTGCAATCTTCCCTTCAAGGGTCTGCTCCTAAGTTTCTATTCTTTCCAAGTTGTGACATGATAACAGATGAGAAACTGAAGAATATTTTGTGTATAGCTCTCCAGAATTTGTGCAAAACAATATTTCGATGCAAGGAGAGAACATCAAACTTTGTCACCCCGTTACGCCTGTTTTTCATGGTATCATATTCTTCAATCATCTTGAGTGCTTGCGAGAGGGTAAAAAACATGGCTAATTATTCTGAGGTTTTCAAGTGACAAATTGTAGGGATTTGAAGCAAATGATTGGCATTCAACGAATTCTCTTTTCATTTTGATGGATCTGGAGGCCTCGGATTCGATTGTGAATAGAAAACCAAATTACCTCGTGGAATACACCGCTCTGTCCTTAAACAAGGCAAGCAAAGCCTTATTCCAGTATTTTGATCACGAAGTTGTTGAGGTGAAAATGAAGTTCGTTTTCTCAACAGGTTGTGATGATCTATTGCAGGATATCAACAATGACGATGTCATCAAATTGGCAGCAATTCTGTTGTTTCAAGGTGAGCAGCGTCAAATGTTTCGAGGGAGGTTTCTCAAGAGTGAGCGCTAACGTGATATCCTTCGCTCCATAGAAACATCTCTGCAAGGAAAATCATTCTCGAAGATGATATTGGAGAATCTTGTTAACGATCGGGTATCAGACATTCAAATGATTCATCAAAAGCTCTGACGAAATGACACAGAGGCTGAAAGTGATGTCCTTCTGTCAGTTAAGTCACGTCATAGAAATCATAGGTCTTTCATATCATTTCGGTGATCTTTATTCACGTTTTTCCATACTCAGGTTTGAGCCTCACATCGAACGCATTTGCAAGAAAGGTATTAGAAACCAACAATCAGTCCTGGAAGGTCATCATTGTTCAACCGCAGATTTTGCAGTTCCAAGAGAACGATTTGTCCATCTGTCTGCATACTTTTTCCAACCTCCTACAAAACTTTTCGATCGAAGCTATTCGAGAAGGAGACAAATCAGTAATATCACGTTTTGTTCGAAACCTGGGGTGAAACGAAGTGGGGGATAATCTGTATTCATTCACGTTTCTATCAGGCTTGTCTCCGAGATTCAGTTCTTAGACCGTTGGTCAAATTGTCTCGAGTTTTGTTATCAGCTTGTCGACCTTGTGTTCTCAAAAATATTGAAATCTGTACGACTCGAACACTTGTCGATTGATGACATTCGACATATCTCGTACGGAATTGCTAGGTGCACAGAAGTTTGGTCTAGTTTGACATCTTGGTGATCAGTGTGCTAGGTTACACAGGAACTTTCCTCATTTGTTTGATCCAGATGCATCACAAATGCAGACATTGATGGTCGAGCACATTCAGCAAATGTGCAGTGCATGTGCCGATCTTTACAAACTTGACGACACTTGTGACAGGCTCTGTGACTTCCAACACAAAGTGAAACAAAATTTCAAGGTGGGGTCCTTTGACCGACGTTCCATGCTTGCTGGAATATTCGTCCTGGAGGCTATGGCTGAGACAGGATGCTCAGCTCCTTTCCACTTTCTCGAGCAGGTTGCAGATTACCTTTCAGACAAGCAAACAAATGCGGTGAGATATATTTCAAGTAAGGCGCCACCCTCCCCTGAAAGTTGTTCATCACAGGATTTTCATCTCACTCCTGCGCTATCAACAAGGTGATTGACGAGTTTCAGTTTGTTTATCCTCAAGGTTTCAACAGTCTCCTGTGGTCTTATGCCAAGTACGACAGCGCGGACATAAGAATTCTCGGAGCTGTGTTGAATAGCTTTGAGGTTCGACCTTGCTGCCATTCTTAGACAGCAGCTCACAAATTTCTGTAGCATCCCAGCAAATTTCGGTGTCTGCGACCGAATCAAGTCTTGCAACTGATCGAGTCAATCTCCAAAATGTCGCAGTTGGTCGAGTGTTCAGATATCTCTATACACTCACGAGATCGTCAAGGTCATAGACCCATCCAAGCCTCCAAATGCCTTCGACAGCTTCTCGAGGCTAGACCACACCAACATCCTGTTGATCCAGATGCTCCGGATGATTCAGAAAATGCGATTGAATGGGCTGCAACTACTTCTTGGTCGGGTCCATTGCAAAATGTCCCAGCCGGTGAAGACGTGCAGGATATCGATTTGCAAACCGGTCCACACAGCGAGAGAAAGTCTGCATGGAAAATCATTCTTGGAGATGATCCCACGATCATTGACAGATACCCTGCATCGAAGTCTGGAGTTGAGAATGAAGGGAGAGAGGGAGATAAGGTCTCAAGCGTCTATCACCCGTACATAAGCAATACTTTGCTGCCCATTGAAAATGAGCATGCTCAGAATCTGAACACCGTAATATCCAATTCTCGATCTATTCATGGACATTTTCTTGGCTTGGAAGGCATTCAAGGGCTTTTGAAGAGCCTCTCGGAGTTGACCTTCCAGCACGTCAAGCTCTCAAATCTCACTCGGTATACACTCTCTCAGGTGCGAAATTTCTTACACTTTTAACCATCGTGACTGAATGGACTAATGTTCCAAATTGTTTTTGTTCAGGTTGTCAGAATGGCAGTTTCACATAGTGTAACTTGCTTCGAGAGTGACGAAGCTTGTAATTTCATCTTATTTCACATCATGCAGCACCGGAACAATCTAACTACTTCTGAGTGTTTGGATGTTCTGTGGTCCTTCACTTATATGAAAGCCAAATTTGGATCTTCAAGCTGGCAGGAGATGGAACTGTTTTTGTCCGCTCTCATCAATCAAGAAGGAACGAATGCCAACAGAGTGATGACGATGGGCCCCGACGATCTCATACTCTTTGCGACTTGCGGTAGTTACACCATATCGCTTCTCCCACCTGACATGAATTCGTCAGTTTCTGCTCACAGAAATAGCGATGTTGGGAACGAGGCAATGCACTGGGTCAAGCAAAGGGTGAGCCTGGAGGGTGCTTCCTTGGTTCTTACTGGCTTCAAGGTTCTCCTACCAGAATTTCTTCGCATGCTCGACGAGGAACAAGCCATGCAGTTGATCTGGGCGATCACCTGGCATGGAAGTATGGACGACCTCGTGCACTCGAGCATTCAAGACGCCATGGCATTGCGACAGAGCTTGAGAACAGCTCGAGTCCAGGAGAATATGGTAGAACTCTTCCTTCTTTATTCACAAGAAATTTCTTGATGGGTTGGAACAGGCGACAAGACTTCGAGAAATTCTAGAAGAAGACGACGGACTCGAATCATCACAATATCCCGCATGGTCCAACGAGACCAAAGCAATCGATCTCATTCAATCTCAGATTCTCTGGAACACTGATCACAACGAGCGACGCGAGTTCGTTCAAAATTCAGATGACAGCAAATGCATAATCTGCTCTGAGAAGTCGCCGCAAGTTCTCATACAGAAATCTTGCATACATTCTTTCGGCGACATCCCAAAGATCGACATCTTCAAGTCCGTATCTCCCGGATTGCGGACATGTCCTTTGGAGTTCTTCTCTTGTTTTGACGACAGAGTGTGCAATTGTCGGCCGCAGACATGTCGTGAGTGCATTGCCCTGTGGGTCTTGACATGTTTCAAGAAAGGAATGTTTCCGACTTGCCCGACTTGCCGGGTCAAATTCTGTCTTGCCGATGTGGTTGAATGTCGAGAAAAGTGAGGCTCGAGGCTCGAGATCATCCTTCAAAGATGAACTTCACCCTGGACTTCTCCTGTGCTCGCCGAGGCGTCAAACGTGAACTGAGAGGAATCGAGTGCATGAACTGATCGGAGACTCGATTGTGCTGCCGCAGCTCGTGTGGGTTCACTGAGATGGTCAAGGGTTGAGCATCCTTCCAGACTCTGGGCCTGGGCGTCTCGATACTTGACCGTGAAGACATGTTTCCCTCCTCCTCTGCTCCCTCGTCCTCTGAAATGCTCAGGTCGAAGTCTGCCCCGACGATGGCCGATACGTCTCGCTGGAAATTTTGGTACAAGATAGAATTTTTCTTCCTGTGGACAAACTTTGAACATACCCACACGGATGCCATATCGAGCTCCCGTTCGCGGTCAGACTTGACGTCATTGAAGATTGGAAAATTACCGTCAAGTCTACGATTTCTCCTCAACCGAACAAAACAATGACCGATGACTCTATCTGCTCCGAATTGAAACTGATCATACACAGATATCATGAAATACAATGCAAGATGTTTGCTGAACATTCTCTCGTTCAGACTCATGCAGCCTTTGTACACGCCTTGCTGAAAATGATGTACTTTGCTGAACACAAATCGTTCGTTCCAAATCGGGTTTGAGTTCTGGAGCACACTCGAGCAAAACTCATGTTTGAACCTTACAGACTCTCCTTGGCTTGCATTCTTATCGCCGATCTTCTGCTGTAAGATGAGCTTCAGCTCGCCGTCGTCACCAGACGATGCTTTCCGGATCATGACAAGTGAGAGTGTACAATACACAGAGGGCTCCTTGGGCCATGTCAAACGTTGAGGGATATTTTGAGCCGAGATCAAGGACATTTCGACAGCAAACATGGTTGCATTGTCATGGGATGGTGACGAGGCCTTACTTTGGAAGGCTTCTTTTTCGTTTTTGTCCGGCTCAGACTCGTCCTTGCTCTTTCTTTTGCTGTCGTTTCTTGAATTGACAGCAATCCTCTCCAGAAACCTTCTTGCAGAATGTTCTAGTGGTCCCGACAGTTTTCCATTCTTGAGTTTCGAGTGCTTGAAAGAAGATTTTGCGATCGTATTCTTGTTGTTGGTCCCTGCACTCGCGTGAGAGACTCTGTCTTCAGATCGCCTGCTGACTGTCTTGGACAGAGTAGCTACATCTGCAACCTGAAAACCAATTCTCAGCCTAACAGCAGCCTCTGCATCTTCAGTTGTGTTGAGAACAGGCTCGTGCTTGTGCTTGAAAAGAGGAAACCAGTCATCGATCGGGTTGCCGGGACGAACCTCTATCACGCACTTGCCGAGTAGAGGGGGACTTCCAAACTTTGCTCGCTCATGCACACTGAGAAGGAGAAGGACGTTCTGCCCGTCAAGTGGCGAGTTGTTCACCGTCGACATGATTGTTCGTTGTGATTCGTCGTCCCTGACCACAACGAAGCTGGGTCTCTTCTCCACCAGCACGTGGGTCTCGTTCCAGACAGGAAACAAGCCTCGGACCTGCCTCGTGATTGCTTGCGGTCTGATCTTGAACGGGCCGTTGGCTTGGAATGAGTTCATACTCAGTGAGTCTTGACACTCAATACCGTGCTCCAGCTCCAGCTCTTCTTCCTCCGTCTTGTCCGCAAACAGCAACGAGACCGCGCAGAACGTCTGAGGGATCAGACCAAAGACTTGGGAGTTTGGGAAGTTCCTGCCCTCGACCACTTGCAGGTCGAACGCATAGGCCGTCTGATCCTCGTGGTCGGATGGCAGCGATAGCACTTCATCCTCTTCCTCCACTGAGATGTCTGGCGAAAGCGTCGCCTGCTCCTCCTCTGCCGGCTGATCGAAGTGAACGTGAGCGAGTCCATGAGAGAGTTGGGCAGAGGTCAGTCGTCCATGAAGATGGTCAACGCTCGAGACTCGGGAGATGTCGGGAGAGGGCGGAGAGGCAGCGGCATCGAAGTCGTCGTCCTGCTGGCCTATGGGGGAGGTGTGGGATGGCGAGCCAGGAGAGCATCTGACGGCGTATCTCAACATCTTCCAGTGAGTCTTCGCTGCTGCATCTTCGTTGATCAGCCTTAACAACTCAAACTCGAGCTCACGGCTTGTCTGCTCGGACCAGTGCCTTCTAGGATGAAACCTTACCGTCGCCTTGAGCGCCTGCGCGTCGAACCCGACATCGACTCTTTTCCTATCTACCTGCAACGCATCCTGGACCTCATCCTGCAGAGCCCTTGGCACTATGTGGTCCTTGAAGTCCGAGATGTGATGGGAGAAAGAGACTGTGAGCATGTGTTCTGCCTCGGACTGCTGCAGGAGGGTGAGGGGAGGGCAGCCAAGGAAGTCAACGGCCGACTAACCTCGCTCATCTCCGAGGGACTGGAGGTCGAAGACACTTGAAAGATATCTTCTGTGTGCGGGGACTCTGCCTCGTCCTCTTCCATCGCCTACAGAGTGTGAGGGCGTGCAGGGAGAAAGCACATGAAACCTGTTGCCGCAGGTCCACCTGAATGGTTTGCATGCTGTCCTTGCTTTCCTACAGGAGATGTTTGATCGTTGACGATAGAGACAGTAAGAGAAAGATAGAACCTTCCTTGACTCCCTCGTGCCTTCAATGACTTGTTTCCCTGGGACTTGGTATCCGATAGCTATAAGCTCCCTCTCCTGCGCTCTCTCCTGCGCCTGCTCCTGCTCCTTCCTTTCCTTGTCCTCTTGCATCTTTCTGCGCATCTGCGCCCTTTGTAGCGCCAGCTCTGAGACGCTCGTGAACATCCTTTCTTTCCTCTTGCCGAAGGAAAGAATCCTCAGGGATGTTGGAGATGACGAGGGAACAACGTTCAAGCAGGGAAAGGCGTTGTCTTCACTGTCTTATACTCATGGCTCCGATCTTGCTGCTTCCCCGTTTGTATCCTCAAACTTCCTTCCTCCTCCTCCTCCTTCTCCTCCCTCTGCCTCCATCGTGTCTAACCACTCCCTGGTGCGCACAATTGAAAAATTCAACACCCGCAATGCAGCCGTTATTAGGGCCGGGCAGGAGGATGCGGTATGTGGCAGCAGTGCGGTCGAGTGTCGATCATGGGGAGGGAGAGGGGAGAGGGAGGGAGGGAGAGGGAGGGGGGGAGAGGGAGGGAGGGAGGGAGGGAGGGAGGGAGAGAGGGAGAGAGAGGGAGGGAGGGAGGGAGGGAGGGAGGGAGGAGAGGTGACGTGAAAGGAACGACAAGTGATGTGTGGGGATTTGATGTCGGCACGAGTAAGATAAGATGTGTGAAGTACTATGCGAAATTTGATGGAAATAGAGAGAGACGAACTAAGAAAGAGAGAAAGAGGAAAGAGAACTTGGGGAGATTGAGAGGCGGGGAGTAACGAGAGAACAGGGAGGAGACAAGATGAGAAGAGGGGAGGAGGTTCGAAGTTTTACTTCACATGTAGCAAGCAAGAGAAAGACATCAAGTGAAAGTGAGAGAGTTCCAAGATGGAATGCAATCATTTCGCTCACGCGCTGAAGAGGCTCGAACAGCATTAGCTACAAGAGAGGTTTCGCAGGCAGACATGCATCGCTATAGTACATCTCCCGCTGAAGGCGCAGGATACTCCTCCATCGAGGAGGATGAAACTTTCGTTCCTCTTGGAAGTCGACTTGTTTCTGCAAAGAGATCGCCATCCATGCCTCCCAGGCTGAGGAGACTGCGGAGGACGAGGACGAGGTTGAGAACATTAGTAGTCAGACTTCTTGCCGGTGTCCTCCCCAAGAATCTGCAACAAGACTGTTAGAAATAAAGGGAGGGAGGACGAGGAGCTCTTACGAATTGTTTCGATCTGCCGATGCATCTGAGTTCACACGTGTATCAGCAAACACTGCTTCCTATCAAGATTCATCTTTTACCTCATCATTGTCCGACGGCACTCGCCACACGTTAACCTCAAGGTCACTTTCTTGGTCACCTGTCCGCCCCACCGTCAGCTCACGCACCAGCCAGCCTCTCACTCGCACGTACCTTGGCCTTCTTGTGGAAGATTGGTTTCTTCTGTCCTCCGAACCCTTGCATCTTGCGATCGTACCTTCGCTTTCCCTACACACGTACCTTTCACGTGACGCCTCTTCCTCCATCATGGCAACAGACCTGCGCTACAAGAGAAGCTGCGCCAGCCTTGTACTGTGACACCTGAAGCTGCTCCATCATCGAGGAAGGCGAAGAAGAACAAGAAAGACCTTGTGCGTTTGATGCATGTTGCAATGGTTGCAATGACTGTGCACAACAAAAGCTAGTGAGTCATGACATGCTGATCCCCTCCTCTGATGCCATGCTCTCCTCCTGATCCTCCACGGCAATCTCCACGGCAGCAGACTCATCCCTTCTTGTCTGTGCATTGCCCCCCACCCCAACTCCACCATCCTCACTTCTCAACGAAAATTTGTCTCTGCACATTCACTCACGTTCTCATTGTCTTCGGGCATGAAACCATGGCGAGCAAGTTGGAGCCGCCGGAAAAGAGACCATCGCTGAGGAGAAGCATGAAGATGTCAGCTATGCATCCAAGAGCATGGACGGAAACCCACCTGGTTGCATGGCAATCGCAAAGGCAAGTCGTCTCATCACAGCCACCAGCAACGTCGGATTGAAACAAGATCCCCTGCAGGAGCCTTTGAGCGCATGTCGAACCAAGAAACATGAAGGATGAAGCCCCCTCTCATGCTCAACCATCGCTAAGACCTCTCATCGTGCCTAGTAGCCCCCAACTCTCTGCAACGCGCCACTCACCTCGGCGTGCTCGGGCGATCCTTCGGCAGAGGAGCGCAGGGGCCGTGCTCCTAGAGAGCAGGAGAAGGGCCCAAGAGCAGGAAGGAAGGAGGAGGAGGCGAGAGAGGAGGAGGAGAGGAGCAGGAGCAGGAGCAGGAGATGTGCATCCCCGAGCACTGCCATCATGCGCGGCCGCACCATGGTTGTGGAAAGGGATAGGTGGGTGGTGAGTCACTGAAGGGGTACACAGAACATACAAAGTTGGGGGTGCAGGGGGTGGTCAAAAAGTTTTGAGCCCAAACTTCTGAACTTTCTAACTTCTGAACTTCTTAAGGCTCAGAAGTTTGAGTCACTGTCAGTCACTGCCTAGGCTAACTCTCCGAGGCTCCGGGAGTCCGGGCCGGTTCTGCGCCCGGCCCGCAGCCGGGGGGGGACGTGACTGCGGGGGCGGGGTGAGGGGCTGGCCCGGCTGGACTGAGTAACGGTCCGGGGCTCCGACTGCACAGCCTGACAGTCTCAAAGTGACTCGGTGGCCAACCCCCCGCGACAGTTCTCCGAGCGCAGTCACGGCGACAGTCGGATCCTTTGGGGGACAGGTAAATGACTTTCACTTGTTTCTAAGAGGATCTTCATCTCATCAGTTCAACAAGCCCTCACATGAGCGACTACCCGATGGGTTCGGACAGAGCAGCGTAGATGTCGAAGAAGGAGATGAGGTCTCGCTCGTACATGCTGTGAAGCTCCTCGCTCAGCTCCTCCACCTGCCTCATCAGCTCCCTCGTCTCCTCCTCCTCCTTCGCTGCCTGCGCCGCCGTCGCTGCAGCCTCCTCCTCCTCCTTCGCGGCTCTGGCCGCGGCCTCCTCCTCCTCCTCCTTTCGTCTGGATGCTTCTTCTTCCTCTGCCCTCCTGGCCTCCTCCTCCGCATCAGTCTCAGGAGGTGCGTCCTCCTCGCTCTTCCCAGCTGCCTCCACCTGCACCTCTGCCAGCGCCTCTCCTTGCTGCGAAGTTGTGGATGAGCAGGGGGAGGGAAGAAAAGTTTACAGGTGTCACCTGATCCTCTTGATCGTTCTTTGGGGTAGCGGGTTCCTGCTCCTGCTCCTTGGGTTGTCCATCTTCATCGCGTCCTGTCCTTTGGTTAGTCGCAACTTTCTGGATAGAGGACAGAGAGGAGAGAGAGGAGAAGAGGTGGACGACTTTGTGAGAGGAAGGAAAAGAGGAAGAGGAGGAAGAGGAAGAGGAGGAAGAGGAAGAGGAGGAAGAGGAAGAGGAGGAAGAGGAGGAAGAGGAAGAGGAGGAAGAGGAAGAGGAAGAGGAGGAAGAGGAAGAGGAAGAGGAGGAAGAGGAAGAGGAGGAAGAGGAAGAGGAAGAGGAAGAGGAGGAAGAGGAAGAGGAGGAAGAGGAAGAGGAGGAAGAGGAAGAGGAGGAAGAGGAGGAAGAGGAAGAGGAGGAAGAGGAAGAGGAGGAAGAGGAAGAGGAAGAGGAGGAAGAGGAAGAGGAAGAGGAGGAAGAGGAAGAGGAAGAGGAGGAAGAGGAAGAGGAGGAAGAGGAAGAGGAAGAGGAGGAAGAGGAAGAGGAAGAGGAGGAAGAGGAAGAGGAAGAGGAAGAGGAAGAGGAAGAGGAAGAGGAGGAAGAGGAAGAGGAAGAGGAAGAGGAGGAAGAGGAAGAGGAAGAAGAGGAAGAGGAAGAGGAAGAGGAGGAAGAGGAAGAGGACAGT